GATAAAAAAAACGTAGAGGATATAATAGAAAAATATTTAAAAAATTGAAGGATTAAAATTAAAAATATTAAGGGTTAAAATTGAAAAATAAAATAAATAAATTTTAATGTATTTTATTGTCTTATGTAAGTGGAGGTATAGAAAAAATAGAAGAAAAGAAATAGGAGGGGGTGGGAATAAAAAACACCATTTTAAATTTTGAAAAGGAATCGACGTTAATGTGAAGAGAAGAGGGTAGAAAGTTGTGCCAGGGGGTGAGGATATCAACCCCGGATATATTATTATTATTATTATTATTATATTATGTGGGACAGTGGGGGTAGTTATACTATTATTATTATTATTATTATTATTATTATTATTATTATTATTATTATTATTATTATTATTATTATTATTATGTGGGACAGTGGGGGTAGTTATACTTCATTTTCTATCACTTCCATTTCTAAAATTCATTCATCGTAAAAATTGAGTGAACTACGAATTTGGTCCCCATTTTTTTATTGTTGAAAATAACATTTTTCCTTTTTATAATTTTAAAATTATAAAATGATTATTGTAATTTGCAAAAATATCTAGTTTTAAACATTTCCTTTGACGGTTATTAAAAACTCCATTACATAAAAAATAATTTCGATCTTTTATCATTTCTTTTGTCTTTTACTTAATCGAAGTGGTATCACAATTGATATCACAGTGATTTCAAAGTTACCTGGTCTGTTTTTGGTATCACATTGTGTATCTTAATGTATTTTGGATATCACATGGGGTTCATTGGAGGCCAAAGGTAGGAGAAAGAGAGGAGATAAAAAATTTAAAATACCTAAAATGCCCTTTAATTATAATTTTAAATCAAATTATCAAAAATATTGGTTTTCTAATTTATCCATTGATTTGTGGTTGAGATTGGATCTCACAATTATCCCAAACTAATCAGTTCTCCCTTGAATAAACATATATATATATATATATATATATATACTATCTTATTAAACAAATTTAGCAAAAGTCTTAAAGTCTTAAAATTCTAAATGACCAAGATACCTTTTGTCACTTTTTCACCCTCTCCTCTCCTCATATACACTCACCCTCTCACATACACTCTACACTCACCCCTCTAACATTGAATCATTTTTTTTTAAATTATAATTTTAAATTTACACTTTATACCTCTATAATTAACTAATTAATTTACTTTACGTCCTTTACTTTTAAATGTTTCATTTTAAACATTTATCAAATTAACATACATAAT